TATGGTTTGTGCTAAATGGCTCCAGGAGTACTAGGCTGAAAAGGTCAAATTTCCATTTCAGTATCTCCAAAAATCAATGGGTGCCATTATCCCAGGAATAATGTTTTAGACTAGATCTAATGTTGAGAAGTGAATTAATACAGGGATCTCCATTAGAGTTCACTAGGTTATCAAAAGCTGAGTTGCTAAGTTAAGTAAATTGCTAAATAGTTAAAAATAGAATTAATGTAAGATGGTTTATATGTGTTTTAACTAGTCAAGATTGGACAATAAAAATCTATTTTAAGGCATACTCTTAAAATTAAAGAGTAACAGAATACACAGTTTCTTGGATTACAGTGGTGGTTTTGCTAAATTTAGCAAAATACTTGATTCAAGCTTGTCAGTCTTCTTTCCACTAGCAAGTTGCATGAAGTAATGTGACAGCTGACTGACACTTTTCAGTAATACCCATTGCCATGGGCAGCTAAAACTACAGTACAATTCTAACTATTGGGCTGCCATTTCTGACAAGGGTTTGTGCCATTTTTGCTCCACCTACTCAGTGTATATTATGTTCACACACTACTGCAGTAGTGTGCAAATACCAGTCTGAAGGACTTACCTCTTTCAGACTCACTAAGAAGGAAAAGGAAAGGAAAGAATTAAGGATTCCCCTCCTATGTATTACATCGACAGGGATGTACTTCTACCCTCCCTCCCAAAACTGTGAACTGTCCATAGATCAGGTAAAGATCAGACAGCTCCATTTTATCTGATGTAAGTCTCATTTTATTTTATAGTAAGCAGCCCCCTCATAAGCCATATATAAACCACAGTTTCTCATATATTCCATGTTTCCCAATGGCAGCAGGAAACACGTTTGCAGTTTTGGGCCATAGAAAAAGGATACGGGTACTGTTGATACTGCACTGCTGCTATTGCCCATGGATTATTCTTTTTATAAAAAGACATTACACAGAATCTTAACTGAAGTGTACCAGAATCATTTTTACTACTCAATGCCAGCCAGCAACAGTATGAATTTTATCAATCTCCGGTGTAGGGAATGGAGACGTGCCTCCTATCCACAGGAAAATGGATCCAGACTGTATACTTCCTCAGAAGTGACAGCAGGAGTGAAGTTAAACTAATTTTTGGAGATATCACACTGCACTCAAGAGATTTCCTAACACTAGCACCAATGAGTTATTAGAACAGATATGGTTGACCCCAGATCACTACAGCAAAACAATCATTTATTTGTAAGATTAAGAGTCCATCTTGCTTCAACACTGTCATTTGATTATGACCTATGCAACTTGGAAGCTGATGTAGTCTCAGGCTTGGTAGACATCCTGCACAATATAATCAAGTGACAGTTCAATTACAGCCAAGGTCAAATTTAGTGTTTAAGTTAGTGATACAGCCAATGAAAGCAAAAGACTTATGACTATGTAAAGAACCACCTAGAAAAAAAAAGTTAGTCATTTACACTATGAAGAGTAGTGTAAAATATCAAATCTGAAATGCGTATCTGACTATTGAGATGAGAATTCAAGCATGATTGGTACTTGCAGTTGTCCTTTGCTGTATATTGGCATTAAGGAATGCCAACACATTAACAAACAAAAACACACATACCCTGTTTTGAAGGTTCTCTATTCCGTAAATGAGGAGGAATGTATCGACCTTCTAAAAAGAAGAAGAGACACTAGTTAGTTTTGTTAAAGAACCACATACAAATATATAGTGGCAACATCTGTTAAAGTGTCTTCTCCACCAAGAGTGTCTTTATTCTGAGAAAGATCTGTTTCAACTACCTGCCTCTTAGGGACTCTTCATGCACATACACCATCCCAATTAAGGCCCATAGAACCTGCCTCAATTCTAGAGGCTTCAAAAGCTGCCCAAGACAGCGCAGTCTGACGTAGGCATTTGTGCTGTACATTGTTTCACAAGAACGTATTTGCCATCCCCTTCTATTCAACACAAATGTAAGAGTGCTGTTTGGCCTCAGTCATCTATGTGCTTTATGGCTTAATAGCAGAGAATTGGCTGGTTCTCCAGTTTTCCTTGGTCAGTGGAATTTGGCAGCATTTTGGCTAGCTAGATTTGATCCAACCCTCTGACTTTCAACTTCTGAGACCAAGGGTAGAGCTCAGTTTTAGCATGTTGACACTTCAGGAAGCATTGACCTTACACAATACCATTTTAGAGGACTTTCCCCAGTAAGTCCATTGAAATGATCCTTGCTGAGCCTCCCCAATAGTGACCTTTCAGAAAGGACATCTTGTTGCATCTCTCTAGAGCAGGGGTAGACAACCTATGGCACATGTGCCAAAGGCAGCACGGGAGCTTATTTTCAGCAGCACTCACGCTGCCAGGGTCTTGGCCACTGGTTCGGGGGGCTCTGCATTTTAATTTTAAATGAAGCTTCTTTAACATTTTTAAAATGTTATTTACTTTACATACAACAATAGTTTAGTTATATATTACAGACTTATAGAAAGACCTTCTAAAAACATTAAAATGCATTACTGGCATGCAAAACCTTACATTAGAGTGAATAAATGGAAACTCAGCACAGCACTCCTGAAAGGTTGCTGAGCCCTGCTCTAGGGAATATGGTTTATTTGGTGGGCTTGAGTATAGTATAGTAAGACGTTCTACTTACCACCCAGGGATGTTCCCTCTATATAGCACTCCTAGTTTTAAGGAGCAAAGAAATTGATGCCAGATAGCTTAGGCACTGGCTATAACACTACTTGAGCAACATCAGTCACATACAGATGCTGTCAGGAGATGTTGAGCTCTAAGTATCTAAAGACAATCCACCATCCCCTTTCAGATCACTACTAGAAGCAAAACGATCACTCCTTTGCTCCAAATTTCAGTACCTCAGCAGAAGAGAACACTAAGATACCCTTGCTTCAAGTGGGATTCTTATTCAAGAATCAAATGTGAAATTCATACAATCAAAAGGAAGAGTCGCCTACTGACACCACCCATATCAGGGCCTCAGTCCTGTGCTGCAGTAAAGAGCCCCCCAGAAATGCTATTAATTCCATATGCCAGAAGATGCAATTCAGGTCTTCAAAGCAACACTCCATTAACTGACTTAGAGTGGAAGTAGATTGGCATCCCAGAACCACTATGAAAAGATGCCTATGCAAGACAAGAAACTGCCCCAATAGGCAACTAAATTTGAGAGTTGAAGGGGCCCCCTCATGCAGCTTAGCTTCTAACTAAATGCCTACTTCAAAGACATACCTGGTGGGGAAAACCAGAACTAGTCTCAAACTTGGAGACCAGCTTCTATCAAGTTAAATCCTGAAGGATCTGAATAGGTTTTGCCTTTAAACAGGGAAGGAGTATTAACCTATACTGCTCATTGATCCAATACGTCCCCCCCCCCCCCCAAATAAAAGTCAACCCCTTTAGTTCCTCCCACCCCCTTAGGTTAAGGTCATTTTTAAATAAAGGCCCAGAAATGGGTTGCGTTTTTTCAAAGCTGTACAGAACAAGCAGCAGCTATTTTTCTAACTATATATCTGGGTATAGCCAAAAGAGAACATGTACATCAAGACATATACTTACTTGCTGTGCTTCCACCACTCTGAGAGTCTGAGGAATTCAGGTCTAGACCAGCAAACTATCAAAAAATAAATAAATCATATAGCATTCCTGTAGTTTATATTAACACATTGCCATCAATTCATATCATGTTATTAAGAATTAGATTACTAATGAAACTTGGGTTGGTTTGGAGCACTGGAGAGGTTCAGAAGAACAAGCAAGCAAGCAAGCTTCTAGCCTACAGGAAGAGCAATTATAGTAAAAAAGTGTTAAAACTGACACCATGATCTTTGGTGCTATTCTACTTTCATAGCCCAGTGACAAATCAATTTTCTAATGCTTTTATGCCCACAAATGAATGTGCACCACATTCAGTGGCTGCTTGATAACCAGAACCTAGCCCTCAGTACTTGCAATTCAACAATTAAGATAATCAAATCAAGAACTCCAATAATTTCCCTCTTATGCTACTGAATTTTTTTTAGGACCATGGGAACACTTTAGAAAAATGCTGCAACAATGCTTTCTATAATGAATATAGAAAGGCTCCCAATACACAATTCTTAACAAAAACAAAAAAAAAAACTACACACATGGTTGTTCCAGAACAGTTTTCAGACAATAAATAAAGTTTGATTTTTGTGTAATCATACAAGATAAGATGGCAGTCTTCCTTTTACTTAAAAAAAAAAGCAGTATGGGGGTAGGAAGGCACTGCTTTAGTAACACTTGCAACATGACTACATGGCATTCAATCTAGGCCTTAAACACTAGGAAGGAGTGGTTTTAGATTTTTAGTTTAGGCAGGCTGTGATTTGTCAGTATTTGGCACAACTCCAGATTCAACTTGGAGTGGGGTTAGCTGGCCTACTGGTTGCACAAACTAACTACCATTTATAAAAAATTCCAAAGAATTATAGAACTACGATTTTCTTGGAAAAGGCTGAAGTACCTCACAAAAAGGTCTACAAGTGGTCTCTGAAAGTATGGTTGTGTAAGAGGATGGTTTTTGGCAGCGTGCCATTTCCACTTACATAAAAAAATCTAAGTAGAAGAAACCTTCAATATTAACATTAACTTTTAGAGGGGGGGGCTTCCATTTAGCTAACAGATGTTCAACTCCCACTTAAAAATAAAATTTGCCATTTTTTGCAATCCTATGCAAACAAAGTACACAGCATATGCGCTGTTAGTTTCAGAAGCATGGTGTTTCGACTTGCTGCCTACTGACACCACTGTTATGACAAGCAAGTGTCATTCCAATTCTGGTGAGTGGATCGGGGGAGAAGGTAACCAACCGCAGATTTCTCTCCGATTCAAAGTTTCAACTGTATCCTTAACACAGCCTGCCATTTTAGGCTAGTAATTATTGACGGGGGGGAGGGGAGTCGCTGTCCTGGCATTTCCTCTCGAAGTAGGTCAGACAGCCGGTCCCTGCTCCGAGGAAACACGTGACCGGTCGCCAGCTTAGCGGAGCGGCTGCTCCCTGCAGTATCTGAAATCCCAGCCTGCAGCACCGCCGCACTGAGATGGCTGCCGCAGTGGTAAATGCCGGGGGGGGGGGGGGGGAACGGGTTCCCCGTCACAGCGCCGCCCAGCGAGGGCCAGACTCGGGGTAACGGGCGAGCGCGCGGCTTGCGTCAGCTCCCCGGGCTACTTGCCCCGCTTCCTCTCCGCGCTCAGGCACGTGGCCAGAGTCCCCACCCCGCGGCACGGATACGGGAGACCCGCGGGCCCGTCGCGACCCCGGGCGTCCCCCTTCCCCCTCGTTAGATGCGGCCACCAGAGGCTCCGCCCGCGGGGGGGGGGCGGAAGGGAGGAGGCAGCGCGAAGCCGGGTCCGCCCGCGACACTCGCCGGCAGCGTGTGAATTACGTTCTGGCCCAGCTGCGTCACTGGGGCCCAGGCAGGCAGGAGCGGCGCGAGAACAAAGGAGTCTCTCCCGCCCCCCCCGCGCGCCCGTCCCGGAGCGCGCGAGACAAAGGCCCAGCCCGCCGCCTGCCTCCGTCACACGCACAATGGCCGCCATTGTCGTCCCCCCCCCACGCCGTTCCTCGCAGCCGCCACCAGGGGTCCCGGGCCTCACACAAAAGCCGGGCTTGGGGCCTGCTCGCCAGGCCGCAGCGACACGCGCAGCCCGGGGCCCAGGAAACATCCGTCCATCCCTCGCCCCGGCCCCGTCATCGACACCAACGTGGCGATTAGTCGCCCCACGACGGAAACTGCGCAACAATTAAATGCGCAAGAAGCCGGGGGGGGGGGATTAAACAAGAAAAATAATTCGCGACGCCATCATCGAGAGGGGATGCCGAGTTCGCAGGTTTCAGGCCAATCGTGACTCGCCATCGTCGATTATCGCACGGCCCCGGCGGACCCTCACCTGCTGGTCTAGACTGAGGGCATTTTCCACCGCCACATGACTCATAACGAGAGATCGTCTCGGGAGGTCGCGCTCCGCGTCTAGAGAATCGGATTCGCCGGGTCTCGAACTCGCCGCTGCTGCTGCTTGTTCGCCTCGAATCGTTTCGCTTCTCTAACTGAAACCCCCCTAGCTCGGCCCGGCCCTTATATACCCCCGCCCCCTCCCTGCCAACGCGCTGACTTCAGCACGCAAACTACGCCCCCTCTCGGCTCGATCCCTTCCCCCACCCGTGCAGCAAGGATCTCGCGAGAGAACCGGCAACTGTGTATTAAGGGAGGGGAGGAATCCAGGACTATCGCGAGATCTCCGCACGCTCGTCCCCTCGGTTTTCGACGGCTGAGGCTCCAGGAATGTCGCGCGAGATCTCCTACCATGGGCTTCTATGACCCCAAGCGGAGCCGCTCGGCTTTCCTGGAGGATACCGCGAGATCTCCTCCTGGTTGCCCCCACCCACCTCCTTATTCTAGGAGAAAAAGCTCCCGAAGTCTCGCGAGATATTTTTGCTCTCCCCCTCCCCTCGACTCAGAGCTCGCGAGAACGCTCTGTCAGCCTTTCTCTCGCGCGGGTACGGAACGTTCTCTCCAGAAAGAGCCGGAATCTAGGTCACGTGGGCGGCCCTGCGCGGGCCCGCCGCCATGTTGTGAGCTTTGCCGGCGGTGCTGCGCAGAGTCTAATGGAGGCGCGGCCCGGCCCAGGCTCGAGCGCTGCGAGCAGCGGTGGGGCGGGAGAGAAACTGCTCGTATAACCGGGGCGCGGCGTGACCCGTCCGGCCCGACTGTGACCTAGATCGGGAGCCCGGGCAACGGGGCGAGATGACCCCTCCCAGCGGGCTGGTGCCCCGTGGCAGCTCCCCGCACGGTGCAGGCCGGCCTGTCCCTCCCGCCCCCAGGGTCGCTGTTTCTTCCCGTTCCGGAAGATCCAGCCTGCCCCCCCCCGGTCCCCCATCACCTGAGCTCGGTCACGGGGCTGGTGGGAACCGGGCAGCTGCGTCTGCTCCGGCTTTGGCTGCGGCACCCTGCCTCGTTGCCTCTGCCGCCATCGTCTGCCCAGCACCTGGCACCGAGCCTGGCAGCCCTTGTTGCCTCCATCTCCCCCTTTAGCGTCCCACAGCGGCTGCCCCTCCAGGCGCCCCTACCCCAGCCAGCCTGTGCCAGCAGGTACCAAGATTAATGGTCTACACTGAAATGCACCAGCTTGACTTTTGAGACACGCACTCTACCCATCAGATCTATTTTGCAGTGATGTCAGCTGCGAACTTTGGTTTGGCAGTGATGGCAGCCTTGTTTCACCACAGCTTCTGCCATAAGGGGGGGAAGGGATAGCTCACTGGGTTGAGCATTAGCCTGCCCAAACACAGAGTTGTGAGTTCAATCCTTGAAGGGGCTATTTAGGGAACAGGGGTAAAAATCTGCCTGGGGATTGGTCCTGCTTTGAGCAGGGGTTTAGACTAGATGATTTCCTGAGTGTCCTTCCAACCCTGATATTCTATGATAAGCACAGTTCCCATCAAAATCCATAAAGCCACCACCTTATTCTCAGGATTCAGCTGTGTTGTAATGTCTGCAACGCACTGTTGGCTAGGCAGGCAACTAGCTCTTATTTATTATGCAAGAGCATGATTGTGTGCAGAAAGGGCAGTAACAGTTAAAACAAACTTACGTTTCATCCACCTGCTGTATCATTACAAACCTTGGATCTGGTCCTGCAGATATTCGTAATGTCAGTCACTTGAGTAGTCTCATCAAGGTCAGTTAGACTACTCACTGTTAGGTCAGAGCCCTCAGTTATAAGTTATCTGCGCCAGGAATTGCACTTTTACTACATATTTATATAGGACTTAACACAACTGGGCACTGATCATGGCCTGTAGGGCCCAGATCCACAAAAGGACTTAGGCACTTAAGTCCAAAAGTTCAGCACTGCCAAGCTCCTCAAAAGCTGCTCAGCTGCTGCGTAACATCCCGTGGCCCCTAGCTTTTTGCCATAAAGAAGAGGTCCTCATACTGGGTGGCACAGAATGGGGGGGTGGGCATGAGAAGCTTTTTTGGGGGAAATTTCACACATTCAGAGCTAGGTGGCTGGAGAGCAGTGGCTGCTGGCCAGGCACCCAGCTCTGAAGGTAGCACCCCCACTAGCAGCAGCAGAGAAATAAGGGTGGGATGGGATTGCCATCCTTCTGCACTGCTGCTGGCAGTGGTGGCGGCACCTTCAGAGCTAGGCACCCGGCCAGCAGCCACCACTCCCTGCTCTGCCTTTAGAGCTGGGTGGCCAGAGAGCAGCAACTGCTGGCTGGGTGCCTTGGCGGGAGGGCATAATCTACTACAGACACAAAGAAGTGGGGGTGGGTGATCAAATAAGTTTGAGAACCACTGTGTTGATGTCCCCATGGCAGCTATGTTTCTGCTGCTGGGCATGTGTGCAACACCTATCTCACACTTAAGCCCCAGCAAGCACCTCAAGCCAGGTGAAGATAGGTATTACCCTCCCTGTCTTGCCTGCAGGACCTGATCTGGTAGGTAAGCTCTGAGCACATGTACTGGATCATTAGACCATATAAGACTCCAGAGGAGTTGGTGCCTCCCTTGTAACCTTTTGTCTAGTTAGTGCTTATAGCTCTCACCTGATAGCTCTCAACCTCAGAGACCTGGGTTCAAAGCCCCTCTCTGTCTGATGGACAAAAGGGATTTGAGCAGGGGTCTCTGACCTCTTGAGAAGTGTCATAACGGCTTCAACAGGAGAGACTGAAAAAGACACACACACACGCCCATCAGAATATCTCATAGCCCTATGGTTAGGACACTCCGAAGAGGTGGGACTGGAGATCCCCTCTTCAGATCCTTTCATCCCAGTAAGCAGAGGGGAAAATGAACCTGGGTCTCCTCCATTCCAAGTGAGTGCTCTAACTTGACTTAGGTTCTTTCACAATGTAGATACACCCTTAGCTACAGATGCCATTGGGGTGGGGAGGGGGAGTGGCACATAGAGCCACATCACCTACTTCACAGGGGCTCTTCTTCTACAAACACGGAAGGAGAGGATTCCCACATCATCATAAACATAGGTTGACATATTACTGTTATTTGTACTCTCCTATAATACCTGTGCATTCTCTCCTATTCAGATGTGATTTGCAACCATCTCCTACCCCCAAATTCATAAACAGGCTTCCCCCAATTTTCCCTAAAGTTGAAACCAGACAGTTTGAAGTCCTCTCCTAGGATTAAACTCTAGCAGACTTAGGTACAAGCAAACAACCCTCCAAATGAATTGAACATAGCCCCTTTCACAGACATATAACCAACTATTTAAGGAGCATTCTCTGTTTTTTAAGCAACATATTTACCATTTTTCTGCTTTGTTCCTCCATAAAGCTCTCCTAGCTGAATGTGTCTCAACAGAGTTTAAAAAAAAAAAGCATATCTGTTTTCCCCCCAAATGTGTCTATTTATGTAATTTAAATGTTTGTAGGTGTGTCTCCATCACTAATGATGTCTAAGATTAGTATAAAAATCACTGGTTCTGTATTTTAAAGGAAAACTGTTGGGTAGTTTAGAATCCAAATTTAGTGTTTAGAGGGGAAAGCGTTCTAGAAAACCTATTGTTAACATAAAGATTTTAATTCATTTTCTTCTACATTTTGTTTGGATTTAAACATCCCCCTACAATGTTTGCCACCCTGACACAGTAGCTTCCCCCGGCACCCACACCCCCACCAAGCCCCAACCACCTTCACCTGGACACCCCCACAGATTCCACTTCCCCCTGCACCCGGAACCTCCCAATGAGCCCCTGTGCATCCAGATCTCCCCCTCACTCCCGCATCTGGACCCCCCACTGAGCAGCCCACACCAAGACTGCCCCACACCGAACCCTCTCACCCCACACACTAACCTGTGCATACTTGGATCCTGCCAGGCTAGCCCCATACCTGGATTGGGGGGCAGGGCTGGACATGTGTGCAAGACTCTGTCCCTCTCACTCACTATCTTGGTGCACCTAGCATGGAGGGGTAGGGGACAGGCTTCAACAGTAGATTTGTTTGATGTGTGCATTGCATGTGCTGAAAAAAACCATAATTACGGGACAGGGTCTGTTTTGTGCTGAGAAAACAGTTTAGACTTAT